AGCGGCAGTCCCCGGTGGAGATCCGCAGCGAGGAGGCGCAGCACGACCCCGCGCTGCCGCCCTGGTTCGCCAGCTACGACCCGGGCGCGGCCAAGAGCATCCTCAACAACGGGCGCACCTGCCGCGTGGTCTTCGACGACACCTTCGACCGCTCAGGTCGGCCCGGGGCCGGGGTCGGGGCCGGGCGTGAGTCCTCCGTATCGGTGTGGGGAGGGGGGTTGTGACTGCTGGGAGCGGGCAGGCCCCTGCTACACGCTACATCCATACCCCAACGCACTGGGCCCACGCGCCACTAAGTGAGATGGACCACAGGGGCCACGTCCTTCACGCATGGTGACTCTGCAAGAGGTGCAGGGCGCTGGCAGCAGCCGCCCCTGCCCTGTAGACATCACAGGACCAGGGTGACCCGAGCCATAAGAGCCAGCCTGCTGCGGAGTGGGGCTCTAGTTTTCTTTTTGTCCAAAAATACTTACCTGGCAGGGGAAACGCCATGAACTTGGGTCCAAGAAGGCAGTCTTCCTTAAGCCTCCTGGGGATAACTTCTTCTGGCATGGTTTAGTACCTGCCAAAGTGCTTAGGCTTAATGCCCATTTTATAGAAATGGGAAGCTTCTCCCTAGCTTGTTCCTGAGGTCATATGGCTGAGGGCAGGAGAAACTTGGGGGCATCCAAACCCCAAGCTTGGGCCTCCAGGTAGGACACCTGCCAAAAGACTTCAGAAATATCTGAAGCCCCTGGTGGGGGTGGAGGAAGCTTGCCAGTTGTAGGGCCACTTACCGTTCAGGACTGACTTGTGGATTTAGACTCAATTTGACTTGGAGCACAGAACGTTTCTTCTTCTTCTTTTTTTTTTTTTTAAAGTTAGTGCTGGAAACTGACCGCTCCGTAGCTGATCTCTGTCCAACTTGAATTTGAATGTGTAACAGGGCCTATATGGCATCCGCACCCTGCCTTGTTATGCTTGAAGCCCACATTTTTCAGACTCTGTGGGAGACAAGTGACTCTCACCTAAAGGATCTTGAGATGTGCCATGGGAAGGTCTTTATGGGGTAAAGCTTTGCTCGTTCCTGCAAACGCAAATCCAGCCCATCTCATGCAAATGGGCTGTGGAGCAGTGTGTCTCAGTAGTCCTCACCCAAGTCTCCCTGGGACCTCTTCAGGTAAACAGCCCAAGGCAGCTCTGTGCAGAGGTACTTGAGCAAATTGCTTAGCTGCCTCACCACATGACTGGTTTTATTGCCTTTTGGCTTAGAAGCTAGCATGTGCTATGGTAACTTGGGTATCTCCTGATGTCACTGCCTTTAAACTTTCTGCATACTTTCCAGTTCAGCAG